GTGGGAAAAGGCAGGCAGCAGGCATCCCTGCAGCAGAATACGCACCTTTTCATTTATTTTACCCTGTGGTCAGTTTTCTAGTATCCGATATGACCCTCTGGAAGACAATAGACACATCCCCACCCATCTTTCGTGCACCCCTGGGTGGGATGGTGAGGGGTGTTCCTACAAGCCCCATGGCTGCCCCCTCAGCCCCCCGGCTCTCCCACCGGCAGGTGCGGCTCTGCTTGCTGTGTGTGGGGACCTCCCTGGTGTTTGGCCCCATCCTGGGGAAAAGCTGGCGGCTCTACAAGGTGTTCACCCAGAGGGTGCCAGACAAGAGGGTGGTGAGTACGCAGCACCCAGGCAACGGGGGGCAAACTCCCCAAGGGGGTGAACACAAGTCCCAAAACAGTGCGGGAAAGCAGATAAAACCAGCACATGGCAGGGGTGGGTGCCACAACCACAGGTCTGGTTTCAGACGTAGCTGGGCATGGGTTGCTCATTTATTCCTGCCCTGTCAGACTGCCTGTTCCCCAGTGGAGTCCCAGCCCCATCACCGAGCGAGGTCTTGTTCTCATTTTACATCAGCCACGTGCCTTCGTCACACTACACACTAGTGTTTGCATCCAGGTCTGGGCTGATTGTTTTTTGCAGGATGAAAATAAACCAGGTATCCTCAAGGGTGTCTGATGTAGGGCCATCCCCAGATGCATCTTATCCCTCTTGAAGGGAGGGGAGGGAGTTCTGAGTACTCTGCTGCAGCACTGAAGGAAGGGGATACAGCAGCTGAGAGAGAAACGGGAGCCACCTGTATATATTTGTGCATGTAACAGTGCACTTACAGCTTTCAGCGGCCACTTTCCAACAGCAATAAAAGTAGGTCTCAGATGAAAGATGAAGACAAGATGAAAGGTGAGATGAGAGAGTTTTCAGGGGAACTGGGTGCCAGGAAGGACTCCCATTGCTGAGGCACAGGGATCTGTGTTAAACTTGCAAAATGATAATCCTACCAGCTTCCTCCGTCCCACCCTTTCTGTCTTTGCTTGGGATATGGGCATAAGAGATGATAGTCTTGTTTTGGAAGAGCTGTTTTCTGTCAGAGCATTGACTGGCTAGCCACACCATCAGGGAGGGATTATACTTGGCTCCAAGCTTGATTAGGTCTCCAAGAGTTTAGGAGCTGGAGATGGAGATCCTGTGGCCAACTCAGATGTAGGTGAGCTGCTGGACTGCGCTCTGAGGGAAGTATTAGGATGGGCATGTTCCTTGGGAGAAACAACCAGAAGGAGACTTAAGGGGATGGAGGTTACTGGTGTCTGTTTTCTCCCCACAGTAACACTTACTTCTTGCATGTTTGCAGATTATCAAAGACCTCCAGTTGCTGGCAATGGTGGCAGCGCTGGTGCTGGCAGATGCCATGTTACTCTTGACGTGGGTATTCTCTGATCCAGTCCAGTGCTTCCGAAGCCTCAGTGTCTCGCTGCGGGTAAAGGGATGAGGAGGGGCGGTGGAGGGTTGTGCCCTGTCCTGTCTGATCTCTGTGGATGAAGTTGGTGGATGGTCAAGCATTTGGAGGTTCTGCTTAAAAAAAAAAAAAAAGAAAAAGAAAAAAAAAAAACAAGTCAGAAAGCCTTCTGGGCTCTCTGGCTTGGATTTATGTCTGGTCTACTATGGAGGGCCCCACTGCAAAATTTCCAGGTCTGATCAGGTCACCTGGGTGTCACAGGTCCATGGCATCTGCAGATGCTTTAGAGAAAGCTTTAACCATCCCTGTTGGCAGCAGAGTGCCAGAACCTTCCTCGCTTTAACCCTCTGCCCTTGGCAGCACCAGCTTTGGCCTTTCCTGTTAGGAATTTACAGAGAAGACTTGCTCACATGCGTGTACCTGTGTGCCCGTCGGTCTGTGCCTGCTCCCGGGCCGGCGCAGCAGCCTTCACTTCTGCCTTCCCCTTGCCTCCTAGGCGACAGAGAAAGGCATGACCTGCTCAGTGAGCCGGGTGCAGTCCTGCGCATCTCTTTATTCCGATCTTTGGCTTGTTCTCATTTTAGGCTTTAAGGTACGTCACCTCTTCAAAGATTTGTGCGTTGTATCTCCCCTCCTCCAAGTCTCACAACCTAAACTGTTTAGCAGCATTCCTAGTTTCACTGCCCTCCCAAGCTACGTGCCTATTGCAGATTCCAGCTACTCCTGTTCATCTCGAAAACACCCCCATCTCCAGTCCTTCCCATCTTCATGTTTTCTTGCATTCCCTTGTAAAAGCCGTTAGCCATGTTTTCCCTGCCTCACCATCCCTTTTATGTACACTGTGCACGTACTGTCTCTCTAGTTCTCTCCCTGCAACCCCCCACGCCTCATCTGTCTCCCTTCTTAAAACTTGTGCCTTATTGTTTTCTAAAGCACGCTTTTTCCATAAAGCCTTAGATGACTGTCCACCGCAGTGATGCACTATGTGGCTCAGCCCCCATGTCCTCTGACTCCAAATCAAGGAGGTGCTGGTGACAAGTGCTTGGTGCCTACCTTTACAGGATGTGTATCAGCTTAATTATACCACTGAGGTACACTTTCACTGGTGTAGCTTTGCACGTGGCCGTTCTTATTCCAGAAGAGTTAGTTATACTGATGTAACTATGTAGGTATAATTATCGCTGTAATTATCTGTGGTCTCATGTGTCTCTGGGTTGGCAGAGGCTGGACACATTTCAGAAAGCTGATGTTGATGAAGCTTGTGAGATCACAGCCTTTCTTTGGGAATGGCTCCTTCTCTGCATGCAGTACAGGCAGTTCCTTTGTGACTCACTGTAATATAACACTCTTGACCCAAAGTCTTAGGAAAAAGAGAAAAAAAAACCTCGTGACACAGCCAAGTCCTTCTCCCCCTGCACTTCATTTTAAAGACATTAGTCTAGCCTGTTCTTAACAGTCCTTTGGTGCTGGGGATTGCAGGCGTTCCCTGGGCTTCCAGTGCTGTGTCTCCACCTCTGATTTTGTCCACAGTTTGTGTTAGGGGTTAGACAGGTAATGCTTTTGCCTAGAGCTCCTACAAACTGCTTTTTGGAATAAAACATCCCCATTACCAGTCCTAGGTACTCTTTGTTAGTATTGCGTTGAACCTGACCGTGATCCTATCTACCTACTGGGAGTTATGCAGTTATTTCTTTAGTGCTTTCCCTGGACTTAATCTGGATTTGGATTTAATCTGGATTTACACGAATGTGAGAGTAGGCTCTATCTCTGCATGTACATAGCATTTCTTATCTCCACAGCATTAATGTGCTCGGCCCTTTGTGAAGCCGCTCGATGTATTATCCTGGTTTTACTGGCACAGAGCAATGAACAGAAATTACTTGCCAAGGACATGCATGAAATTAGGAGCAAAGTCCTCCGCTCAAGATTAAAACAAACAAACAAACAAAAAATTTAGTTCTGTGCTTACTGAAAGTCTTAGTTTACTAGATAGCAGTGCTGTTGTCTGTGTCCCAGATAGACTATATGGATTTTAAATGGGACTTTGGTGCTAGTTTTTCTCTTGCTCAGGGATTAGGAGTTGGCTTGCCTTTGGACCATGTATTTGGAGGTGCCCTGGGGTGAACGTGGTTATGATCCAGTGCAGATTCTACAAAGCAGGGTCGGGCATCAGCCTAGTTCCAAATGAGGCAGGTCTCACCATTACGACCCTGTCTTGAGAATTCATGGTTCTCTGAAGTTGAGAGTCTCGCCAAAGACTGTGGATGTGAATTCTTCTTGCCTGTAAGAGTGTCCCTCCAGACCCTAACCCTGGCAGTGCCCATCCCAGTCATCAAACAACCACAGCACAGAGGGATCCAGAAGGGTGTCCAGAACATCCACACCACAAAGGTCACAAAGCACTTCTTGATGCCCAAATAACGATTTAATGTCTCTTAATAACAGGCTGACATTTTCACTTACTGAGAACAGGAATAATATAGAGTCATGTTCCCTGTATTCTGGGTCCTTGCAGGAGCAGGGATTTTGTTAGATGTGATCCTGAAGGCAGACCATGCCATGCGCTACAGAGGCAGGCAAAAAATACTTGGTGTTTGCTGCCAATGTGCCATGGGGAAGGAGGGATTCAGCCTGCTGGGTAGTTTAATCCTGGGCACACTTGAAAGAAAGAACACTTGAGGGACAGCTCAATGAGGAAACCTGCTCTGAAACAACCAACCTGCTCCTGGAGAGAGACGGCCTCTAGGTACAGAGCACTTCTCTACCCCCTTTCACCACTGCTGGAGTCAGGAAGGAAACAGAGAAGGGAAGGGAAGGTAGAAGAATTGCACCCAGTAGTTTCCTGGATTTCTATTTAAAGAGGCACCAAGTACATCCTCTTCCCAACAGTCTAAACTTCCACTTCTTCTGCCTTGCTTTTTCCTTCTGAATGTCCTTCTGAATCTCCTCCCTGCTCCTTCAGAGGTATGTCATTGCTCCTTGATGGCACCCCACCTCTGCATCCCCGCAGGGACATCCATCTCTTGTCTGTCCATCTTTGCTGCTCTTGCTCCAGGCTGCCTAGCGGGAGGTTTTTCACATCTTGCCTCTCTCTGCCGTGCCCTGTGCTGTGGCATTGCCTGCCAACTGGACCCTCTGCTCCTCGCACCCCTCTGTCAGGACCCCCAAGGTGCTTTCACTCCTGCCCTCCCTCCCCAGCCCCACTTCTGACCTGCAAAAGCGTGCCGGGCGTTTGCTGCGGCGTCACCACTGCGTGCTGAAGGTCTGCATTATAGATCAAAGAGCATTAATTAGGATTGCGCTGAGTGTATCTGAGCTCACCGGGCTCACTATGAGGTGGGGGTTGACACCATCAGGCTGTAATTTTCCACACTCTCGAAAGCTCTTTTTTCTGCTTCCAGAGTATCCTCCTGCTGTATGGCACCTACTTGGCTGGTCTGACTGACAACGTCAGCTCCCCGCCAGTCAACCAGTCCTTGACGCTCATCGTTGGGGTCAACCTTGTCTTCCTGGCTGCCGGCACTGTCTGCTTAGTTCACCGTTTCTTCCGCACTTGGCACAACCTGCTGTTTGGTTTTACCTCTGGAGGCATCTTTGTGTGTACAACCACGATCAACTGCTTCATCTTTGTCCCACAGGTACGCTGCCACCTCTGTCCCACTCCCAGGCTGGAAAAGGGCACGTTTTTGAAGTTTACCAACAGCAGCCACATGGACCAAAGCACTTATTTTCCTGCTTCTTTCCCTGAATGTTTGGGCTCACCTGCACAGCTCATCCTCCAAGCCCTCAGTGGCTCTGCTTGCCCACACAAGTCCCCCAAGTCTCCAAGGACTGCGGGCATGTTGCAGAGCTCCTGCTCAGAAACCCTCCCACAAGAGCATGCCATGAGTGGAAGCCACACAGAGGGCACATGTGGAGGCGAGTTGGCTGCTACCCTCCTCCTCCTCCTCCTCCACATGGGTGGTGGGATCAGTCCTTCATGCAGTTTCCTCTCTTCATACCCCACAGGCCCACTCCCACCGAAGGTTTCTGCCCACAGCAGGGTTGGAGCTGGGATCTGGCCATCCAGTTGGCCTTGCCAGGCTCAGAGGCTTCGTGGCTGCTAGTGATCCCCAGGGGAGGCTGTCCTCCTCCACGCTTCTGGAGGAGGAAGCTGGGCTTTGCCACAAGTGAGGAGGAGGGCACGGAGATGTTTGAAGGAAGCCTTTTGTGGTGAGGCTCGGCTCTTCTGCTTCCCGTGTCCTTCAGGAGCAGCCTGGTGTGCCTGGCCACAGCATTAGCGGGAAAAATGCTCCCATTGTTACAGGGAGAGGAAACAGTTGTTTACTCAGTTTAATGTTTGGAGGGATGTTTGGGCTCAAGGAAATGAGGTGAGAAAGGGAGGAAGAGGTGAAGCTGAAGAAAGAGCACATCTGTGCAAGAGAGGACTCAGGGGATCTCACCAATATGTATAAATACTGACAGGGGTGGAGTAGGGAAGGGGCAGCCAGGCTCTTCTCAGTGATGTCCAGGGGACAATGGGCACAAACTGAAACACAGGAAATTCTATTTAAACATCAGAAAAAGCTGCTTTTTTTTTTTCCTGTGAAAGTAGCAAAGTGCTGGAGCAGGTTGCTCAGATAAGTGGTGGAGTCTCCATCCTTGGAGATCTTCAGTACCCAGCTGGACATGGTCCTGGGCAACCTGCTCCAGCTGAGCCTGCTCGAGCAGGGTGGTTGGACTAGATGATTTCCAGAGGTCCCCTCCTACCTCAGTTGATGCATAGTAACTTCAGAATCCCAACCCACTAGACAAGCAGCCCTTGGGAGCAGGATCCAAACCTCTTCTGGCAAGCACCAAGCCTGCTAGCGATGCTCTGCCAAGCGCGAGGGCTCTCGGAGCGAGGGCTCTCAGAGCTGATGAGCCTAACTTGTGCTCTGGCTGTACGATTTTTCTGCTGTAGCCTGGGGGCCTTGAACATTTTATTTAACTTGGATGTTTTAATTCATCAACTTGTTTTTCCTAATGGGCTTGCTCTTCTAGTGCTCATCTGAGATCGATAAGCAGCTGGAGCTGGGCTGCACAAGTCTTCCACGCAGACACTAGATGAGAAAACGAATACTAAGCATTGCTGGTTTTCAGCTTGTCAGCGGTGATTCGGGGATAAGGAGGCGTGCGTGACACTGTCTTTGTCTGTCAGGAGTCAGGGGAGGGGGAGAAAAGGGAGGGGGATTTTACAGCGCTTAGAGGTTGCAGTGCAGGCAGGCGCTGACCCTCTCTGAGTTAAAAGCTGGGGCCATGGCCAGGGTAGGGCTCAGATGGGCGGGAGGCTCCAAGTGACACTGCAGCCCCTTGCCCAGCTGTCTCTTGCCACCCGTCACACCCTGCCTTTGTTTTCCCCCTCTCCCCATCCCTTTGTCTCCTTCACACTGGAGCTGTGCCTGCCTCCCACCACGTCGGCAGGGGCTGTGCATGCCACGCGGATAACGCCCTCTTCTACTCCCCAGCTCAAGCAGTGGAAAGCCTTTGAAGAAGAAAGCCAAACCGTCAGCCACATGGCAAAATACTTCACCAGCCCCAACAGGAGCTGCCGCTCAGTGTACAGTGAGGAGCAGCTCTACCAGCTGATAGGGGAGAAAAACTCCATGAAGCGACTGCTCACCGAGGTATGGAGGCTCTGCCGGCCCCCCTCAGCCACATGCTTCACCGGCTTCTCCCCTTCCCTTTCGTAGGCTTTGTGGGGTGGGAAGCCCTTCCTTACACCCCACCCTGCACTAGCACTCCCCCTCCGACCTCCTCCCTCCTGAGGGGAAGAGCTGATTTGTTTTGTCACATCACTCTGCACCCTAAAGTGCCAAAATTCAGGCATAATCTGGAGGATTTACAAAAAACCCAAAACCAAAACATGAAGGGGCAAGAGCAGGAAAGCCTGGTTCCCACAGCCCAGTTGAGCATGGTTAGTAATTTAGAGGGGAGATGATCCATCTCAGGAAAGCCCCCCCAGTCTCCTTTTTCTTGACCCGTGTTACATCCTGACTTGGAGAGCTGCCTGCCCTGGTGCCCCCCTTCCCTCACCCACATCTGGGGCAGCTCTGGGGGGCTCCAGGGGAGGACAGCGTCGCACATGCTGCCGGTGTGGCTCTTGCAGACCTGCTGCTGTGCTGCCTCTCCGTGTAGAGAGGGACGATTTGTTTTCTGGCAGCACCTGCTTCCAAATTGGTGGTGTTTTCATTAACACTCCACCCCCAACCCTGCGCTTGACAGGTGTATTTGTTTGATGCAGAAAAACGCCGTGATTGAAAGCCTGCAGGAGCAAGTGAGCAGCGCCAAGGAGAAGCTGATGAGGCTGATGTCTGCGGAGAGCGGCTGCGACCCCCGTGCGCTGCCAGGGGCTCCTTGCACCCAGAGCTCAGGGCGGTGTGGGGATGCGCCGGGGGTCTGCTGCCCCCCCGATCTGGAGCAGGATGGGTGGCAGCCTCCCAGTTTGCTGGGTACGCCACCTCTTTGCAGCGATGCTCAGGACCTCCGGAAACATGTGAGCCACGAGCCTGTTTGCTCTCCAGTGCTGCCTTTTGACACAGGGGACAGTATTGAACGTGGCTTGAAAGATATCCAGGAGTGTGGAACACCTGCGGGGTGGGGGCAGCCTCCGGAGCAGCTGCCGGGCCAGGATGTCTCAGCTGGCGTAGCCTGGGAGTCGTCCCCCAAAGTCAGCTACGTGAGCAGCGAGAAGCTGCGGGAAATCTTGCAGGAGCTGAGCAGGGATGGCAAAACCTACAGCCCGGCCTTATCTGGGGGACCCCAGCGTAGCAGCCAGGGCCCCCCAAGTGAGCAGGGAGGAACATGGGGGGCCCAGGAGGGCTACCAGGGCATCCGCACGCCCCTCAGCCCCTACCTGGCGAGGCGGCGGCGGAGGATCCCGCTGCCCTCCGCGTCCACCGGCTTCCCTGGACACATGTCCCCTCATTCCAGCCGCAGGGTGAAGGAGGCAGGTGGCTGGGGCCGTGGGGACTCAGCACGTGTCTCCCTGGGGAGGGAAGGGGAGATGGCTGGCGGAGGGCTCCTTCACCCGCCAGCACCATCCCCTCCAGCCATCCGTGGGGAGGCCTGTCTCCAGCCAGAGGGATGGCCAGGATGGCCGGAGTCCCAGGGTGCTTCACCATGCATCCCGTGGGAGCCGCGGCGGCGGCAGCAGGGTGGCCCAAGGGGACCTGCGGAGCCCTCCCTGCACTCGCTGTACTATTACCCGGACTCCGACTCTAGCAGCAGCAGCTCTGAGGAGATGTTTCATGGCTGCCACCGGCCCTGCTGTGAGCTCTGCTTCCAGAGCCCGCGTGGCTCCCTGGGCAGCAGCAGCACGGACACGGACACAGAGCCCAGTGGCTGCGCGGGTCACCGGACAGAGCACCACGGCGGGCCCCAGCCCGTGGTGAATTTTAAAGAAGATCTGAAACCCACCTTTGTGTGACTGGGAGCACCCCTGCCCTAAAGGCAAGTGCCCCCCCCCCCCTGCTGCGAAACACCGCATGTTTTCTGTAGTGCTAAAGCCATGTGTCCCTCCGAGGGATGCATCTTACTCCAGCATCTGGGGTTTGGGAATAAACCTTGCCCTGTTTTGGGCTGCTGTTTCAGCCCCAGCCTGGTCAGCGGTGACTGTGTTTGGCTGAGAGGTGGTTGGTAGCACTCAGGGAGGGTGGTGGTGGTTTTTTCTCAGCTGTTGCAGGCAGCTGCCTGTACCCTGCGGATACCATGTCTGTCCGTCTCAGTGTTGGCAATGGAAGGACTGGAGCTGAGTGGCTTGTGAGAGCCCAAACTTCATCACCTCAGGGAGGTTCCCCTGTGAACGCTGGGTCATTCACACCGGTGAGCAGCACCGCGTTTCAGAAACACGCATGGCTTCTTGCACGAAGCGGACAGGCAGACAGACAGACAGACAGGATTCTTTCCCCGGGGCTGCGGATGCCAAGCCCTGCATCAGCACCCAGCTGGAGACTGGAACAGCCGGACCCAAGGAGCTCCCACTCACCTGGGGTACTGCTCCCTGGCAAAGCAAGGCCCTCAGAGTGGGGTGCAGGCAGGAGACTTTTGGGGAAGGGGGGTTTGGTAGTGTCTGACTGAGAAAAGTCTGAAGGTGCTATCCCTAGAGGTGTCTTTGCAGTTTGTGTAGTTCAGCTGTGTGGTCGTAGGTGAGGCTTAGGTCAGAGCTGAAGGGAAAGACAAGCCAGCAATAATTGTAAAAGAGGACTTGAAAAGGGTTTGGGTTTTTTTTTCCCCCCCCTTGTTTTTTGGGGGCTTGTACCCTCCTTTATGCTTTTGTATGGATGATGTAGTCTGGAATGAGGTTTGCTTAAATTAATACAGTCTGGTTCATTTTTATCTTAGAAATATCAAGAACAGTAAATCCGACGTGTCTGCTTTTGTTGGGATGTTTGTGAAGGCATTTCAGTGTATCATTGCCTCCACAGGAGAAGTTTGGGATGCTGAGACCCGTTGCCTAGGGCGTAAAAAACCCTCTGGAGAAAGGCTTTCTTACAAGGGCATGTGACAGGAATCCCAAACCCGGTTTTGAACCTCTCTGTTATCCTTTATGATGGTGAAATCCCTCACTGCTGTGTCCTAGCAATATCCCCATAACCTCTGTTCATTCCTAAAATGAAAACACCCCAGAGGGTGATCCCAGTGTTCTTTTTGCCACCTTTAATGAACAGAAACCAGTTTGTTTCTTTTCTTTTTTTTTTTTTTTTTTTTTTTTCTGAGCTGCCTGAACACTTACGACTCAGAGGTGTGTGTTAGGTTCTGGCCTGTGTGAAAATGCATTGACTTGAGTGTCTTCTAACACTGTGGGGGCAAATCTGCAACGGGGGCTGGAGTCAGAGAAGCCCAGACAGGGTGTGAGTGTGGAAGGTCTCCTGCAGTTCCAGCAGAGGGGAAGGGATCTTGCTGACGGGGAGGGATGCTGAACAAGCCAGAGGTGGGTAGGAGCAGCACTGGGGGGGCTAGAGGGGCATGCCACTGTGTGCTCCTCCACACCGCTTTCCCCTCCACACCGCTTTCCCAGGCACCCCCAACAAGCAGTTTTTATCATCTGAATCCAGCCTGTGCCACACCAAAGCTGCAGGGAGCTGACATGGAGCCAGAAAGTGCTGTACGGCCTGGCCTCAGGCGGCAGGAGCACCCTGCAAGCATACAGCAGCTGGTTATTTATAACCATCATTTATTCTACGGGCCAGCGCATGTCCCCGGCGTGCAGAGCCGGGGATGCTGGCGGGGAGACCCCTAGGGTGGGCAGCCCCGAGGAGGCCGGGGGGAGCTCTCTCCCCGGGTCAGGCCGGGGGAGCCCCCCAGGGGAGGTCCTGCCAGTGGGTCTCGAGAGGCTCTTTTTTCCCCATGGCTTCCTGGCCCCGGGGCTGGGGAAGAGTTTTTGCCTGCAGTTCTGCAGCGCCTGCAGCAGGGGCTGCTGCTGCCACGTCGGGTGCGCTGGCAAACCTCAAATGCCCAACGCTGCGCATCCCAGGGCATCCCCGCGCTGGGACAACGGGTGGCACGGGGAGGTGGCTGGGACGCTCTAGGGACACTATTAAATCTGAGGCAAAGCCACTTGGGTAAATTGGGACTGACTTCTCCACACCCTCCAAGGATATTTAGAGTAGCACTTTGCTCTCGGGCTAGGAAATACTGCAGCACAGTCATAGGAAATGATCAACCATGAAGCCACCATGAAGCAGCTGATACAAAAATTAACTTAAAATCCACTAGTGAATGCAGAAAAACCCTCCAGAGGACTTTAAACTTATGGTTTGTTTGGGAACTCATCACTGGAATTTGGGACAATTGCTTTTCTGTCTGGTGACCCAACAGCCATGAACTGAAAACTGGATGTCATGTGGATGCATCTGCTAAGAAGGCCAATGGCATCCTGGCTTGTGTCAGCAATAGCGTGGCCAGCAGGACTAGGGAGGTGATCGTCCCCTTGTACTCAGCACTGGTGGGGCCACACCTTGATTACTGCGTTCAGTTTTGGGTCCCTCACTCCAAAAAGGACAATGAATGACTCGAGCGTGTCCAGTGAAGGGCAACGGAGCTGGTGCAGGGTCTGGAGCACAGGTCTGATGGGGAGCGGCTGAGGGAACTGGGGGGGTTTAGTCTGGAGAAGAGGAGGCTGAGGGGAGACCTCCTGGCCCTCTACAGCTACCTGAAAGGAGGTTGTAGCGAGGTGGGGTCAGTCTCTTTTCCTAAGTAACAAGTGATAAGACAAGAGGAAATGGCCTCAAGTTGCACCAGGGGAGGTTTACACTGGATATTCAGAAAAAATTCTTCACTGAAAGGGTTATCCAGCACTGGAACAGACTGCCCAGGGAAGGGGTTGAGAGTCACCATCCCTGGAGGTATTTAAAAGATGTGTAGACATGGCGCTTAGGGACATGGTTTAGTGGTGGACTTGGCAGTGTTAGGTTCACAGTTGGACTCCATGATCTTAAAGGTCTTTTCTAAGGTAAATGATTCTACACACGAGCAGAAGGCTGATGCAGTTCATATGTGCACGTGTGTGTACACACATAAAACCCTCACTGATGCTTTTGATGACTCCCAACTCTGACCTCCCCCTGTATCTAGCAAGGAACACACATTTGATTCAGGTGGAGAAGAGTTAAAGCACTGTGTGATGGATCGGGCTGCCTGCACGTGAGAAGAAAGGACAGAGCGAGGTGGTGGGCTGCCTTTCATTGCCACTGGCATCACGGGATCTTTGCATCGGGCACAGGCACACAGAGCACACACCTTATGCTGCTCAACTTTAGGCACCTGGCTTAGGCACTGAATTCAGCATTTGGTTCAGGAGCCTGTCTCCCCATTAAGCCATTCAAAGCATCTTTGCCCTGAATCGAAGGTTTCTGAGCAGCTGTAGGGGCAGCTGCACACGTTCTGCGAAGGCGGAGAGGAAGACTGTGAGAGTTGAGAAGGCGGCTTGTGGCAGCAGGATCGTGAGTGCCCTGATTTATACCTGATTATAACTGACTCTCTCTCTTGCCACTGAGGGATGTATACAGCCTAAAGAGAGCCATCTCTCACCCAGGGGGCCTGTAGTAGCCATATCCCACGTGAGCAATTCCTTCTCCAATGTATCTGCTGTCTAATCTGTTCCTCTCAGGAAAGGCAGCTCAAGGCAGAAACTTTCATCTTGCAGAAATGGAAATGAAAGGTAAGTGACTGGAAGGAGGCCTCCTGCCTGCTCCCAGGTGAGTACTGGACTCACTGTCTTTACAAATGTGCTCACAGGACATGTGAGAAACTTGCTACCCAGCCACCTTGCTAGCCCTTGGCAAATCAGAAACAAGTTTCCTTCTGTCAGAGTGAGATGCTAGCCCTTGGCAATCCTGTACACTTTGTCCCAGCACCATGTCCACATCCAAGCAGTATCTGCCCCAGAGAGGGTGCCTCTTCCAGTGACACACAGGGCAGCCACAGCAGCTGATGCTGATGAGGTCCTTTGAATGTTTCTGGCTTCCGACGCTGTGTTTCCACGCCATCCTCCCCCTGATAGCTGTGCACTTCTGCAGGCTCCAGCTCTGTGACTCCTGCTGCTGTCCACAAACCCTAGGAAGAGGCAACGAATCAACCTCGGCCAGCATCCCTCAGCCCTGCTATGTGCAGTGCCATGGGAGATGCTCCACCAAGCACTGCCTTTCCCTGTCAACTCCCCCCGCTCCCAGTGATGCACCGACACCTCTATGCCCTTTCCTTGCTGATGGCTGTTTAGGAAGGGTCATGTCACAGCTGGTATGAGATGTCTGTATGCCCACATGCTGGGCCTTGGCAAGAGCCAGAAAGGCAAGAAGCCTTGAGGCTCTTATGCCACAACCACCTGCCATTGCCCAGCCTGCCTCTGTTACCCTGTCAGCTTGGCACTGTTTAGGAAATAACAAAATTGATCTCGATTGTGATTCAGCTGCCTGGTTTAAAAAAAAAAAAAAAAAAAAAAAAAAAAAAAAAAAAAAAAAAAAAAAAAGCGCTTTGTTAGCTACGGCAGAGAGGGATTAAGCCAGGCTCTCTGGGAGAAGAGTGCTGACTGTTGGCGTGGAAGTTTCCCCACTGCCTTGTGTTGGCATTAGCAGCTGGGATCTGTGGGGAACCTCTCACTCTGAGCTTTGATACCAGGGGCAGTTATTAGAAATAATGGGTATTCAAAAGTACTGCAAGAGGGAAAACCCACAGGTGCATTTGGCCCAGAGTAACTAGACTGTGCAACCCATGGAGACAGTGTCTGCACAGTGGTGCCACATCTGTGCAGGGATATTTCTGTGGCACAGAGGGGAGCAGCAGTCAGGGCCCTAGGTCTCCAAGTAGTCTGTGCAGCAGGTTTTGAGAAGGTAAGGGAGCATCCACATACACACATGACCTCTACAGGTCCAGAAGAAGCTCCAGAAAAGTCTTCCTCGAGTCCAACAGCCACGAGGGCTGTGGAGAAGCATGCTCCCGCTGAGCAATGTTAGTCTCCTGTGCCCAGAAAACAGGCCTGTCTCTTACCATATCTTTTTTTTCATGGGTGCCACCTTCTTGGCTTCTGCCTCCAGCTATGTACTACTGAAACTGCAGCTTCTGCTGTTACCCCAAGGTCTGCTCCTAGAGCCAGAGCAGCAAAGCTGTAGATGCCCAGTTGTGAGGCATCAAATCCATCAGTGTAAGCGACATTGTGATTGCTGGCCTTGTGCTGCAGAAGGTGATCTCATCCTTGGGGGACTCCTAGGAGACAGGAAAAAACACCATCAAAAGAGCTGTGGATCCTAGGTAGAAGAATTGTGGATGTTTTAACAGTTGATGTTAATTGCAGGAACTTTCTGCTGCATTATATGATCATGCCCTGTGGAAACAATCCCTGCACACACCTGGCTGATCAGGTGCATGGGATACCTCCACATGGTTCCAAGCACTGAGGTATTCTCCCCACAATAAAATTGAGTATTAAGGCTCCTGCAGTGTGTTCACCTCAGAGCGTGTACCTCTCAGTGTTCACAGTGAGGCTTCTTGTTTTCATGCCCACCTTTCCTCTGTGTAGAGGCACCTGTAGCTCATCTGGTTTTCCTCTAACTCAGGCATCTGTAGCTTTATGCTTTGTGCTGCCAGACCGCAATCATTTATATAAGGAATTTTTTTTTTTTTTGTCCTGGAGGTTCTTGCAGACAGGATGGGTGCGAGGGACTTTGTCCTGCCAGGCAGCTATATAAAGCAGTCAGTGATTCAGCATTTACTGTGCCCTACACAGATTCCTCTGTTATCATACCAACAGGAATGCGGGGCTAGAAGGGATCTCCTAGTCATCATCATATTCTGCAGCTATGACAATCACTGAGTCATAAAGTCCCCCTTGTTAATTTATCACAGTCCATCTTAAGAGTCATCGTGAATTTTCTTGGCAGGTTATTCCCGAACTTCACTCTGACAGAAGGAAACTTGTTTGTGATTTGCAGCCCACATTTTTTCATAGCCTATTTTTACCTACTTGTTCTCATGCCAATGCTGTCTTCTAGTTAGTAGCTGTTCTTCCTCCTTGTT